AATATATGAAATAGCCAACACCATACCAATAATAATTTAATCATCATTATCATAGTGCATCATTAATGTTATTCATGTTACTGGGGGGGGAAAGTAATATTAATTAGTGTAGTATTTGAAAAAAAAAAGAGCAATTAATAATAATTATAATAATAATAATACATTACCTCTAGTATGGTAATTAATGGAAAAACTACGACTACTACAACTATACTACTACAAAGGATAATAATACAAGTGATCATGACATGATGATGATAGACAATACAAATGACAAACTTCCAACAATGATACCGCTAACGCTTAACATAAGTCATTGCTAAAATATCACTTAACTAAACGCACGAAATCCCAATATTTATTTCTCACCCGATGTTATGTTACAAAATCCCACCTGTTCATGGGCCGACTGCCTTGAATGATGAAGACACTTTTCACTTGGGTACTTTGGTTGCGGTCCCTGATATGAAATCGTCTCCAGCGATAGATTTAATGTCCGCTTAAACTCTCCATATCTTCTCGAGAGTCCTGAACTTTGGAATAATGTGACAACACTTCTGAAATAAAGAAGTAGACGCTTGGAAGTTCTGCAGATTAATTTACATTCGCTTGAATCTCTTGTTGTATACTGTTTTGTTTGACAAAAGAATTATATATATATATATATATATATATACTATATCTATATATTATATATATAATATAACCTATAATGTATAATATAATATTCTAACAACAAATATATATACTATATATATTTATATATATAATAATATATATCTATATTGTATATATATATATAATATTATATATATATATATATAATATATATATATATTTATATATATATATATATATATATAATATATATAATATTATATATATATATATATATATATATATGTAATATATATGCATATATATACATCATATATATATATATATATATATATATATATAATATATTATATTATATATATTTATTATATGTATAGATATATATATTATAATCTATATATATAGATATATATTGTGTGTGTGGTGTGTGTGGTGTGTGTGTGTGAGCGTGTGTGTGTGCGTGTGTGGTGTTTGTTGTGCGCATGTGTGTGTGCGTGTATGTGTGTGTAGATTCAATAATGATTCGACATTAAAAAGTGCATTGGTTACAATTGTAAGTATGTCTGGATCACGAAGAATTGTCAACCCACCGAAATGTTTTTCATGTTTTTTTTAATTTTTGAAGCATACTCATGCGCAAAATTATATATTATAGATAATAGTAATTACACTAATTATCTATAAGTTATTGGTTTGTTCATATTTTTCCTTAATGAAAACAAATGAAGATGCATGTTTTATCTTCACAATTCTTGAAAAATGTCACTAGTCATTCACAAGTACTAGAAGCTTCCTCCAAGTGCATGATTACCATTACTTATTATTATATTATATATTTCATCGGGGGGGGGGGGGGGGGGCGGTTGGAGGCAATAAAAATGTGTTCTATGGAACGATTCATCTGTGTCAAGGAATGAATTGGGAAAGTGAAAATAATAAAATAAAGTACAGGAAGGAAAAATCGTGGAAGGAAGTGAAGGATTGATTATTATAATTGTTCAGTAATAACGGAAAACACCAAGGGCGTTGAGGAGGGGGGGGGTAGTGTTCCATCCTTCTTCCTTTTTAATTGTATATTTCTTTTTATAATAATTTCTTTATATTAGTAGCCACAGATAGATGTATTTGAAGTAACTGTAGACTTGAAATAGATTTAGTAAAAGAATATTAATATTGCCCCCTGTTTGTTACTGATAATAGAATAAAGACGTGGTTAAAAACTGCTTTCAGACCATTGTATCCCCGGCACCTCAGCAATTAATGAAAGTAACTCACCTCTGAGCTTTAAGAACCGTTA